TGCACCACACGGGACTACATCGGAGTATTCCACATGCGGAGCAGAATCCATATCGAGAGTAACAATGGTAAAAGCGTCTCTCAGCAACCATGTAATAGTTGTCGTCATGCTTGGTAAATCCATATACCAGTTTGTTGCGACTGCTAAGCCATCTTTTATATCTTCTGAACTTCCTGACATTATTATTGTACTTGTGTGTCAGAAGTGAGTATATTCTAGCAAACTCACTCACAAGTATTGTTGTACATTCTTCGTTGTTTCCAAGGAATACCAGTACTATCATGCGATCATTGTGAACAGTATAATAGACGTTGTCAATTTGAGTTGGTTTTATGTTGGTGATTTCCTCGTAATGAATCCATTCAAGTCTTGAGGAGGATGAGGAGGATTGAACCAAGTCGTCAATTACTGGATTATTAATCATGACATCGTTTGTTTTCAAGGGGAGATGTTCCGCGGGTAACACTTATTCATTTCCGGATTTTTTCTCTTTCCAAATTTGGGTTGATATCTAATTTAGGTAATAAAAATTGGGAACAAAACGGACACAACAAATACGCATAATAAATAGACGACACACGTATTCAATTATGTCAGCTCCTAGCTTCAGTTCATTATCACTTGATCCAGAGCTTGTTCCATCAGGAGACTCTTCACTATCACTAAAAGAATTTGCAAGTAATGGTGCTTGTTGAAGTAGCAGTTGAGACATATTATTCATAGACATACATATTAACTAATTCTTTTCGTTCTCGGAGTTTAAGCTAAAATGTGGTTCAGACATCTACGCATTTAGTTAAAATAAGTGGGAACAAGAAATGAAAAGGACCTACTTGACCCGATTTTGATTTCTATTTGGACGTTTATCATGGTTATAAAATCCGCTATATTAATATATCGACCTAACGCTCCTATAAAAATGTGGGACAAATATTAATTGAAATAATGTTTCGCAACTATCTAATCTTTGGGTGGGAATCACATTAATTTTTATTTCCTTAGTATTAGCCTGACAACTGAACACTAACACGTCTTTCTAGAGGTGTGTAATGTGGCTTTAGCACGTTTTATTATATGATAAATTTAATCTTGGAATCAGTGCGGAGAACTCATCCCAAGAGAAATGTTGTAATCATATTCCTGATCAATAAAAGTGTTTGTAATTTTTGTTCGATAAGAGCAATGTTATACTTTCTCATAATTGTATTTAAGGGTGATAAATTCCGGTTTGTTTGTTTTTTCTTTGAATGATTCTAACCAACGTTTTACTAATTCAACAATAATCCATGTTGTTTACGGCGATGAAGGTTATTAATACTAATTATAACAACGTTCTTAATTTTTGCAAACGTATCGGAATTAGAATCGGAATTAATTTCCTTTTTTTTTTCTCTTTTTTTCTTTTCTTTTCTTTTCTTTTCTTTTCTTTTCTTTTCTTTTCTTTTTTTGATATTATTATAACGCGCGAAAACGGACAGATTTAAGATTGTCAACATGAAGATAGTAAGATCCAAAATGGAACTTGAACTGGGTCAACCCAATTCGGAACCAGCACATGGTGATATCTATTCGATGATATATATATCAATACGGAACGTAAACTTGGAGCAAATGTCGTTACGACAGCTGTCTTACGTTGTCGAACAAATAATAACTTCCTTCGCTAATATAAGGTTTCGATCCAACGTACAATAAATAAAAAGAAGCAACTACAAATTTAGTATTAGCAATGAATGTATTCGAAGCTTGATTGTCAATATTAAAAGTATAGCCGTCAACGATTGTAATAGTAAGCCCGTTGAACCAGCGTCTCGTGATTGCAAAGTTATAATTATCGTTACTGTTAATTTCTAATTACTTATCTTTGCCAAAATAATGCATTCAAACAATAAGGCCTTTCGCAACAAGCATTTGAAAAAGAAATTCTAGGCGAATAGCCCGTCACTAGCAGCTATGCTCTATAATAATCATTAATCTCATTTGAATGCGCTTTCGTAGTCTAATGGCTCTTTTTAACTTTCTTTATTTTCACATTAATATTAAGTCCATGAGATATAACATTTTCTATATTAAATTATTCAAACAGCTCCACACCCATCTTCAAAGACACAAATTCAAGTGGCTTTGCATAATGAATCATCTGCATTTCGCGTCCCAAATCATCTTCTGTTCTTGTACCATCCTTCCAACTTGCTATTCTATCAATAATCCATAATGCCCATTTCACAGACTGTTCTTTTGTCTCCATCATCGGAAACATAGGTAAATTCCATAGTGCAATCTCATCTGTATCATTAATAACACAACTAGGATGCAAAACTCGTTTTACAGGTACATCATTAAATATTCCAAGAGTCTCCAATGAATATGAAGCTTTCATGTCATCTTTTGTAGAAAAGACAAACGTTACATAGCCATACTTAGGAACCTTTGCGAAAGACTTTGGTTGTGAAGGAATATGGCATTTCATAGTAAACATACATGTATAGTCAGGTATATCCACTCTTGGCGTTAAGTTGACATTAACTAGAATTGAATGACATCCGATTCTCCCTTGATTTCTTGCATATTCTCCTTCTTCCTCTCCTGCTACTACCTTTACATTTTCCAAGACTGCGGGGGGTACACTTGTAATAAAATTCTGGTATTTCTCAATCCATGCATCTTCATTTCCTCCCATCACACAAACCCCTTTCAAATTTCCTTTGAATTGAATCTGCATTTCTGTTTGGAACTCCTCATCGATACAACAACATTCAATGTATTCCTGCATTGTTCCTATGTGATAGAATTTGGAAGAGTTCAATACTAAAACAGAGAGGGATATATTTGAGGTTTGAAGTGTCTTGAGTATTGTTGAACGGGCCCTTGAGAGAGGATCAGAGTAATCCGTGGAAGGAGGAAATTGTGTACATGCACCAAAGGGAAGAAAATCTGACCAGGCTTCCAGTTCATATGTAAGTGGTTGGATTTGAGATAATATCTAAGTAAAAGAAAAAAAGTTTGTAAATTGGTATACAATGAACGCGCCTTGTTCACAAAAAAAGTTGCAATCTATTGCTATACATTGGTGACAATAGACCAAGTCGATTTTGACATTTTGGAGCAATTAATAATAAATTACCTCTAGCAACACTTTGCTACAATTATGATCAAAGAAGTAGACACTGTCCGTATATACGAATTCCTCTCCGTTCTGGCAAGAGGTAGAAACATTAGCTATAGCGACAATCATCACGCAAATTTGTTCAATCATCCAGTCCCCCACCCCCCGCCTCCAACCCTCGTTCATGTAATACCTGATCCTCGATTATGGCACCATGTTCCCTCATTTTTTTGACTGTCGGTTTATGCAAAAATTTATCACATTTCTTCAAAATCGGTCTTCTTTCTTCCGGTAGTTTGTTCACCTCGGCCATACACTCGCCTTCTGGATCATCTATGCAATAAACCCCATGGGTTGTTCCAATAGTCAAGGAGGACGGATGCGCTAAAGCAATAAAGCCAGGGCTTGAAATTGTGAAACCATTTTCTTTAAAGATATGTTTAATATGTGGTTAAAGGGGGGAGTCTGTAAAAGAGGAAGCAAACACGACAACCAAATCAAACACATTGAAATTAATTACCGGGCATAGCTATTAGTTCAATAGTGTCTGCACTTGTGAGAAATACCTACATACAGAATACGGATTATTAGGCATCTCATATATTCACTGCGTTGTTTCAAAGTAATTTGATGACTTACGCCAGAGGACAAGTGTTTAACTAGGCCAATATACATTATTAATTTCAGCACTAACATTGGCATGCAGTTCTTTGGTCCACCTGCAAATCGAGTTAATCACATAATTTTAATGTATAGTCAAAAGTCCTATTTTGCACAAGGAAAAACAAACAAACATGCTTTACCAAGCGTGGGTAAGTTCAAGAAGATTTTTCCAATTGGACTAACATGAGGCAATCGCGTTGAATAGCCACCAGCATGAATTAAAAGAATTTTTCCTAATAAAAGAATGCGTTGGTAAGCAAAAAACGCAACAAGAAAGAAAACACCATAACCATAACCACGTTTGTTGGTAACTTGTAGACATACTCGAATCAAGGTCCGATCCATAGATATCATCAAGATACTTTAGCACCAACAGCGTAGACCCACCGCTGCCTATTTTATACCGAGGTGGATCATCTACAACATGAAACCTGAGGAGAGGGGGAAAAATGATTTTCAAATACCATCCCTCGTTTCTTTTATCCAAATTCTCAACAAGAGGTTTTCCTTCAAATCCTCACTTTTTTGACCATTTGATCTATACACTCGTCGTCTAGCCTTAAAAACGTACCTAACCCAACCGGGTATTTGTTTCTCCTCAGCCAACTCTGCAATTCTTCTCCCATAAACGGCCTTTTGATGTTCGTTGCTTGCAGTAAGGACAACATCATCCCAGAATGCAATCGAGTCTGAAGGAGAGGATAGGGATAATAATTGATTGTAGGCAGAGTAGTTTTGTGCGATTGCTGATGCAAGGAGGCCGGATTTGAGAGAGGCCATTTACTGCAAATTTATACCATTCGAGATATTTGTACTTGTGATCATATGATTAACACGAAATTTACTTCAAATTGTTACGTTAAGTGATTTTTCTTTATTCGCAGTTCCATGCCCTTGGAATGCAAGGATGTTGAACAGTATTTGAACTGACTGGATTAGCCTTATTAAATAACGTATTGGGTGTTGGGTTCGAGCACGTTTTCTAATGGTGTATCTTATTACGATCATTCAGCACTACTACCGCGGATTTTACTGATCCCAAACTGTGTACCAATGTCATCACACCTGGATTACAAAAAACGCAAATTGGCTTTCAAATTACACCAGAGTTTAATCTATTGAGCATTATTTCCTAATGGGGTTTTATTCTGACTTGACGATGATTACTAACAGTACATGTATAATTATGTCGCAGTTGCTCGGAATTAACAAAAAATACAAGAAACCAATATAATATTCCCACCCACAAATAATGAAATTACATTCTAAAATAACCATTGAAAAGGATGTATATGCAATGATGTTAATGTCTTTTGGATTACACACGACGTTTAGAAACACGTGGCTTTGAGTCTAGTCCAGTGGCATCTGATCCGTCTGATGTTCCACCGGAACCAGATCCTAATTCCGGGATTGCTGGAACATAGCTGCTGGTCGTTGAGCATCTAGCTTTGGCTATGGGTAAAAAAGCAATTAAAGCGTAAATATATCATCACATTAAAAAATCGGGTATTTGAAACCAACTTCAATTCTCGCTACTCACCGATCGTATCATTCGGCCCAGGATCCTTAAAGGGGTTTACTTGCACATCAAAGACGTTCGTATTTCTCTCGATAATCTCCTTCATCGTCACTTTCTTCAATTCGTCCTGTTCTGCTTGCGTATAAGTATCACCTTCATACCAGAACCTATCTGTTGTTCGCTTATTCTCGAATTCAATTCTCAGGATATTGGTAATGGTTGGTGGAAGTGGTACATTGGGTGATTTTTCCTCGGCAAACATTCCGACGACGGCATCAATCTTTGAGACTTTGCCATAGAGAGTTTGGAGATTTTGGGCGATTGTAAGGTTGGATGTGATCAGTTTGAAACAATCAATGGAGTCTTGTGTATCAGCAGCTTTACATTCACTGAATGAATAGAGGTCACCAGCAGGATTGAATTTTTTACGGAGCTCATTGTACGGTGGAACACCGTTTAGTCGGCCTAAAGTAAGAATTTGTAGTAAAAAAACCAGATACAGTGTGAGTGGTAAAAATATCTAGCGAACAAACGTTTGACGCTCCAAAATCCTATGTCCTGGTTACTATAAATGTTTCCGACTACATATACCCAGCTTACCTCTTGCAATATCGAAAGCATATAAATCAACAACCATGGGCGCATTTCTTAAAGCATTGGTGATTTGTATATCAAATTCAGCCGTCCTCTGTCTAAGTAGACTAACAACTATATTGTCCATTCCATTTCCATATTCAGATCCCGAAGCCAAAGACAGCATTCTTGACGGTGTATAGTCCAAACTTCCAGCATCCAAGTAAGAGTGTCTGTCTACCGGGATTGGAAGAGACTTTCCAAGAAAGTAGAAACGATTCGGGTTCGTATTTGGGAACTGGTATGAAGGATGAAGTGTGATTGGTTGATCTTTGCATCCGTCAAGGATAGTATATGGTTTGACGACAGAGTGTCCGTATCGGAACGCAGCAGTGGCAAAATGGACAGAGGTCTCTGGGGGCAATTTGGGGTCGTATCCTTTGTAAGCCGGTAGTTTGAAACCTATTACTGCTGGGAGATATTCTTCAAACACTACGCGTTGATATTCAGCAATAACCCATCGTCTGGCAGCTTGGAACAACTCCTCGTCGCCCAATTTTGGATTCTTTTTCTTGAACACTCCTGCCCAGTAGTTATGCTCTCTGATCCATATCGTGTGTATTAGGCATAATTGTATGTTTTCTGAACAGCGTGTGTCTCCGCTAATCATTGCCTCTCTGTCATCAATGGAAGGGGTTGCGAGATTGGGGAGAACTCCTGTGTCGAACGCAGAGGGAGGATAATCTGGAAGCGTAACATTCTTGATGTTTGTGTTGTATGCACCGCCATTGCCGTAATAGGTTTTAGTAAGAAGAAGACCATCTTTCATTGTGCGCAATTTTTTATTGAGATCTATGGAATTGCCGTATACGGTTGATAAGTCCAGGAATGAGTTGCCTCGATTAAACGAATGAAATTTTCCGTTTATTATGGTGCCTAGCGATGGTGATAGTGACATGTCTGCATGAGAGAGAATGGGGGAAAAGTATATTGTTTGGAATAGTAAGTAGGATGCATCAGTACGCTGTAAATCGATAAGCAAGTAATTTTTTATATTTCGTTAAATAGTATTATATGTTATATCGTTAATATTATCAACTTACATGGAACAAAGTTTGCATTCCATGGATTATCTTGTGCATTGTAGAATATTGGGTCACCTGTCACGTTGGCAATTTGTGTTTGTGCAGAACCGGAATCAAGTGCATCCTCTTCGAGATCGTGATTAACAAATTGGCCAAAAAACTATAATAAAAATGAAAGACGTTAGATTGAGCTGAAAACCTAGTAAGAATCGAATGTGATTCACTACTAGAGAACGTATGGCTGTAATGATTTTAACCAAGATAACGTTACAGCTAGCGACAAATGGCTATTTCGATCAGTATTTGCTAGCTTTTAGCCATTAAATGATACAGCCTAGCACGTTCTCTTTCATATACATGTAATTAATACTCACAATTTCGAACATTGATTTTCTGGTGGTCGACAATACGTCGTCACCAACGGGATTTCCAACAAAGTTAGGCAGTTGTCCATCACTTGCCAGAGCGTTAGATATCATCCTAACATCGATGTCTATCCATGGTGTGCTATTAGTGTTTGGTGCATAATTTGGTTCAAAATCACCTCTGGAGAAAGGTCTTTTTACGGCCCCCCAGTTAGAAGTTTTGAGGTTATTGCATGTCCCATCGAGGGTGCGCTGATTGAGAGCGGTGCCATTGCACTTCCATACTGGTATCTCTTCAATTGTAGAAGGTCCACCGTCGCTGCCATCGCCGTCGTCGTACTGTGCGTGTGAAGAGTGTGGTTGCGAAAGAAAGGCAACAAAAAAGAAGACAGCCAGAGATCTAAGCAAGACCATTTGGACGGCTTTTACAAGTTTGTGATTATGAATATAAGTGAATTATGTATTATATATACACAGTCACAATGATTATTTATAGTATCAATTATATATATGGCTTCGATTGACGACGGGTTGGAGGACCAGCTGTGGGGTGTTGACAGCTGAAGGGGGAGGACGGAGGAGAAAGAATGAAATAATGGGAGTAAGGAGCGTAGATATACGAAACACTGTATTCTATGAAATAAAGGAGAAAAGTTGTATTGCCAAATTCATCCAACTGAGTATAATGAAACGATGTTACACAACTGTAGAATGTATAAATATTTATAATAACAACAAAAAGGGTTTATATCGTGTGTAATTATGAAGACCCTGTCCAAATATAGGTATTCATTTCAGTATGATTGATTATTTATAGGTTACCAATACAACATCCGACATTTCTGCATTACATTATTTTTCAACCGAGAAACCAGCTGATATTTCAATACCAACCAAGACCGTTATACTTGCCAGAGTTGCAAATATTGCGATCACACGAGTCTGACCATGATTGTTAACTGTGATAAACTTAACCAGGAACATTCTTTTGATGCGACTGTTGGTGACACATAGTGACACATACAAGCCATTTTTATTGTAACCATCTTGATCATCTTAGATATGTTGCTTTATTTAGTTTCGAGTATAATTGGAGGATGTTTTTAGGAATATCCGTTTTTAGTACTGCGCATAATAATAAATTAAACCCTAAACAAAATATATATACATATTTTATAACAAACACCCCCTTCTTGTTCTTATCTTTGATAACGCGAACGTGAGTACATAATGATCGACTACTAAATGACTCTTCCTATTCTTATCAAGATTCGTCCGGGAAAAAACAAACCGTCGCCATCCGACCGGATAAACAGATAATTATCATTAAGGGGCATATACAGCAATAGTAAGAATTTTCCATAAAAAGAGGAAAGTTTCGATTGATGATCATCGATTCCTTGTATGAAATTATACTTATTCGGCCACGGTATACCCACGAATATCTTAACGGCAAATTATAGATATTTGATCTGTACATAGTTATATCTCAACAGATTAACCTTTTTCTGTAAAATTAATTTATCTTATCGCTAGCAAGCGAATGCTGTGGTTAGTTATACATATTAATATATTCTTCCAGATGATTGGCGTCTTTTACTACGCCCAAATAACTTTATTATATTAATATTAATAAGTATGAACAATTACCCGCCAAACTCATTGAGCGTCCACCGATCTCGAATACAAAGCTCTTGGCATTCCTAATTTACTATTACTATTTATACTTGCTTGCTAATACTGTAATATGACGAACAATTATGTGTCACAAGGCGGTTACTATAAAAAGTTAATTAGAACAGTGGATCTTACTCAAACATGACCCTGTAAGAAACCCCCGCAAGGGCTGTATCACAAACTATTTTGCGCAAGTGCAATTATTACATAGCCATGAGATCATACAATTAATTATAAGAAGTGGTCTTCTCGTAACTGTGTCATAAACTGTTTCCCCCCGGTAACAGCAAAATCTTTTATTAAGAGTAACATGGCAGAGTCAACTGCCTTTTGCACGCCAATAATTCAAATCGTTTCTAAGACTGTCACTGGCCTGTATATAGAACGGAGTTTATGAGGTAAAAAGTTCACAAAAATAAGGTTTTTACAATTCGCCAGATGGATGGCCGGCTTTTAAATGACAAGATTTATTCAACGTTATGCCATACATTGAACATCAACGTTTAGATTTTTTGACATTTGGTTCTCTACCTATTTTGACTATTTAATTCATAACTT